TCTTTCCCAAGTAAATGAAGAAACAATGATTCCGCTTGTATGCAGAAAGTTTCCACACATGATTATATGGGTGAGACTAAAAAGACTGCAGTTTAGTCCAGCAGGGCCAAGTATTGAGTAGGATGATATAAATATGCTGATCAGAGGGAAGAGAGCCAGTTGCTCCAAGTGTTTTGCTGACAAGTCCATGTGAAAGTAGCCTTGCTCCTTGTTTCAGTATGGAAGTGGATGAGGCAAGGCTGCTGTTCAAACTGCAGAAGAATTAAGCTTTAAGTTCAGCTTCATATGGAATTTATTTTTGTGACTAGCCCTCACAAAATCAATATGAGTATAAGCAGTAATGCTAGTAGTGGTGGACGAAGGATTGTGCTCTCAGCTGTTCCTCAGAGCAGATGATACCTTGTAAATTTTTTCTGTAAACATCTACTTACTCATTGCTCTGTAAAACAGCAATAACAGAAATGGGGTAATATGAACATACTGAGCATTTCAATAAAAAGTAGTTGAATTTACTCCAAAATTTCACTTTCTTAATTGCAAAGCACGCACCCATGGATGGACTAGTGAAGGAGAGGGTGTCCAGAAGCAGACTTGCTCTTCCCCTGCCAGGCATGCATTGAATAGCTCTTCTGTTTATAATGCAAGTTGCAGAATATCTGTTTTTAATTTGATTTCACCTGTTCACTAATGTTCCCTGATAGGGGAAACACTGAAAGGGGATGCTGTCCATCCCAACCCTGCTCCTCATTGTAAAATGGTTAATGACACTCACCCTCACTGTAGATTGCTTCAGGATTTGCTGATGGAAAAGACTGTCTGAAAGCATTAAAAAATCTCTTTATATACAGATTCGGTATGCTTCCTTTAGTACTGATATTTAGTATCTTAGTTGGTGGGGTTTTCTGTGAAGAAAGGTTAAGCGATCTGAGTAACCCCTTTCAATTTCAGTTAAAAATTTCTAATTATAACTTGTCATCTCCCTTTCTTACTCTAAAATATAAACTTCCTTACTGTGCCATGCTAACTGCACGTGTCCACTTGGAAGATTAACTGGACGATTATTA